GAAAGGTCTTTATCACATGACAATATAGCTGTGTCATCAGCAAACATAGCTGTTGTTGTTTTATTGTAGGTAGGAATATCAGATGTATAAAGTAGATTAACTATAGGCCCGAGGACACTACCTTGAGGTACCCCTGCTTTAATACCTTTCCATTCAGATACAGCTTCTTCGTGACTTACCCGAAACTGTCTTTCTACTAAGTATGAATCTAGTAGCCCACACTATGTATGAGGAAACTGCTTTTTAAATTTATATAGTAAGCTTTCATGCCAAACGCGGTCAAAGGCCTGAGAAACGTCGAGAAAAACGCCACAGCATTACTTTTTTTCCTCCATAGCTCTACTAATTACGTTTGTAACGCGATGTACTTGATCTATGGTGGAATGTTTAGTACGAAATCCAAACTGGTGGTTAGGAATTAGTTGACGTTCTTGAATAATAGGATTCAATCTAATGTAAAGTAGTTTTTCGAAAAGTTTCGATATTGTAGGAAGAAGTGATATCGGTCTGTAGGAACTAGTACTCTCAGGCAGCTTTCCTGGTTTTAATAACATGATGACTTGTGCCTTTTTACAATTTACAGGTACATATTCTATACGTAAGCAGGCATTAAATATGTAAGTAAATAAGGTGATTGCTTTGCGAGATAATTCATTAATTATACGCGGATTTATCCTATCATAACCCGGAGACTTTTTAGAGTTAAGATTTTTATCTATCTCATTTGCAACTTCAAGAGGCGTGAAATATTTAATGCGATCTGTAGTTTGATCAGTGGTATCGTAGTTTAAGTACGTTGTATTTAGATCAGATTGTATGTTGTTAGGTTGAAATACACATTCCAAGTAACTTGCAAAAGTTTCAGATATTTCCTGTTCGCTTCGAGCCCATGTACCATCATCCTTTAAAATTGGTGGCACATATACTTGAGGTCTTTTCATACGTCTGGTTGCTTTCCATAACGAGTAGTCTGTATTTTCTGTTGCAGATAAGTTATCTATATATGCTTTAAAAGTTTCATTTTTTATTGAGAACATTTTTTCTTTTAGGATTTTGTTGAGTCGATTCCAGTCGCTTTTGTCTACTGGATTTTGTGTTCGATGCCATTTTTTCCTTGCTCTTCTTTTAAGTTGAATTAAGTTTCTTATCTCTAAAGGATAAGTCTTTTCTTTTTCGAACATAACGTCATTATTACGTGTAGATTGTTCAGCAGCTATAATTATGTTATCTGTTAAATTCTGTACAGCTATCTCTATGTCACTTGTAGATTTGAGTTTAACTGACAAGTCAATTCTTATGTCTAAATGGTCACGAAAAGCTTCCCAATTTGTGTGTTTATTTATGAGCACAGGACGTCTTTGTTTTTTTATTACATGTGAACTTAGTATTAAGAGCACTAGTATATGGTCTGATGTTAAGTCAGGTATTCCTTCAATATTAGTATAATTCGAGTTCACACCTTTAAGTACAAATATATCAAGCATACTAGGTCTTTTCGTTTGATTATTAGGCCAGTATGTTGGCTTACAATTTGTTAGATATTCTACATTAATTTCAATGCCGGCTTCATAGAGCTGCTTACTTCTATTGGTACTATTATCGCTACCCCAAAAGCGGTGCTTACAATTGAAATCACCACCTGCGATGAATCGGTCACCTAGGGCTCGGAACAAACTAATAAAATTTTCTTTAGTTATTTGTCTTGAAGGAGGACAATATACTGCTGAGACTGTTATATCATTACGCCCGTCATTAATACAAACATTAGTAGCTTGAACTGCTTCGTACTGTAATTTTTCAAGTTCATAGTGTTTAATAGATTCTTTTATGATTATTGCTGTACCCCCCCCGTTCTCTACCACCCAGGTGTTGTGTTGTGTATGATCTATAACAATAAATTTTTATAAATGACCATTCAGTAAAATGAGTTTCTGATCTAAGAGCTATATCTATTTTTTCGTTGTATAAAGATGATTCTAGTTTTCTTTTTTCGTTGAACAAGCCCATTGGCATTCCAGGTTATTATTCTTAACGAATTGCTCATTTTTTGTTTTTCTTAGTCACTTTTTGTTTTTTAGTTGATTTAGGCTGATTATTTTTCAATTTATCAACGTCTAATGTTAGTTTGGCTAATGTTTGGATAACACTATTCAAGGCTAATAATACATCGCAAAGTGATGGCTCAGCTTGTAATGTTGTTCTAGTTTCAACCTCTGTCTCGGTATTTGTTTTGGTTGCTTGTGCGTAAGAAATACCAATTTTTAAATTTGTATACGCTTTTGACTGTATGCGTTGGACTGAAGTCACCTTTTTTGGATTAGCTTTTGCTTCAGCTGCTTTATAAGCCAAACAGCCTTTCCAATTGGCTGTATGATTTTCACCACAGTTTGCAAATATTGCTTTAGCATTTTTAGACTTAGTGCAAGCTTCGGATTTGTGTTTTCACCACATTTTACACATATTGGAGTTTTGTGGCAGTAGTTTTGTGTGTGGTTAAAAGCTTGACAGTTTTTACACTGTGGTTTTACACTTCTTTCTTTTTATTCCTCGGGTGCTCCACTTGAATCTTGTGATAGCAAAACATATCTACCTGAAAGATGTCTTTATTGTTTATTTGTGGTTCTAACTCTACAAAAAACAATGGCAGTCTAATGTGTATCCAATCACTGTTTTTGTTATTTTGATCTTTTTTCTTTTTTATTTGAACATTTGTAATATTATGAGCCAGGTGACCTAAGGTAGNTATCCAATCACTGTTTTTGTTATTTTGATCTTTTTTCTTTTTTATTTGAACATTTGTAATATTATGAGCCAGGTGACCTAAGGCAGCTAACTCTCTTTTAATATCACAAATGTCAGTCTGAGGATGTAAATCTCTAATCACAGCTTTAAACATTTTTTCAGTTTTAAGCTGGTATCGATGGTATTCAATATTTTGCTTTTCTAAAATTTTCACTGTTCGACGAAACTGATGTTCGTCATTCGTTAAAAACTTAATATTACCATTAGCTAAGGTTCTAACAAGTTGTTCATTATCCTTAGCCTCTTCTGATGTCAAGTTGATAATAAACTTTTTTACGTCGGTAACACCACATACTGTTATGGTTGGTGGTTTACGAATTTTGGCGGAAATACTCGCGATTTCCTTTGATAATTGAATCGTTTTCTTAAATGAGCTTATAATTACATCAGAGGCTCCAAAAAAATTACAAATGTAAAAATCGCTAATTTTCGAAATTTTTTCAATTTTTTTACTAAAAACTGCCGTAACTTTTTCAAAAATGAACATATCAATATAATTTTTTTTTATATAGATGCTTGATGTCTTTACTTATCATTTGGTATATTTTTTTTGTAAATCTGACACTTAACCTGCCCACAGGGGGGGATTTAAAATGACAACTTTTTCACAAAAAATTAACTTTTTCAACTTAACTTTTGAAAATGTTCCGGAAGGTCTGACACTTTTATATATATATTAAATTAAAGCTAATGTAATCTACTTTATTATGTAAAAAAAAAATGTCGGACTTTATTTCGTCTTCACGGTGAAAATGACTACCAAATGCTATTATTGTGTGAAAATTCTCGATTTTATTTTTTATATTTTTAACTTTATAATGCTATAATTTATTGAAAAGTTTATGGATCCACACAATTTTTTTGTGAGAAATAATATTTTTTAATAAACCTTTTTTTATTTGACATACTTTATATTAATCGAGATATTAAGGAACCAGCAGATCAAGTAGCTTTTGGAATAAAACACCAATTTTTTTAAAATTAAACACTATCTAAAGATTTGCATCGAAGCGTTTATTTTTGATAGTGATTTTAATCACTGTCAGATATCATTATACTTGATCCAACTATACCACGTCACAACTGTGCCTCGACCCCCCTGTGCTGGGTTTTTTACATTTCATTATCAGCTTGCATTTGATGTAAAATACTTGAGCTGATAGTTACGTTAGCATACGGTGAATTGCCGTCACTATCCATAGTTAATTCCGTTTGTTGAAATATGATCTGTCGCATGTGTGACCCACTTAATAATTAGCTTGTTTAAAACACTTACCAGTCGTCCAAATGTCCGCGGCATGCATTGTAAACAATTTATAAACAATTTTTTTTAACAGACACTACACGTTTAACTCGGAAGCGAAAGCGAAACAAACGTGTTGCTTGTTTGAGTATCAAATAGCAACTGGACAAATATTAAAAAGATAATTTAATTGTAATTAAACTTTATCAATTTTTGGTTTGCCTACAATAATCCTACCCGTTTGGATAGGTTGAGCTATATTTAAAGTATCCAATTTATTCGAAAATTTTCAAAATCTAAAAATAATAAATATTACTAATATACAAAATTCTTTTTACATAAATTACTTTTTTTGCAGATTTTTCATGAGATACTGATAAACATACATTTATAAATTTAAAGTATTGAACACATAAGACAATGTATAACATATATTGTATTTTTTTTTTTTAGTGAATATGTTGTTCGAATCTATAAGAAGTAAATTATAATTTGATTTATATCCACTTGATATTACTAAAAGTATATTATTTTGACTTATTTGATATTTAGATATCAATCAGACTACAGATGATATAGGTAAGAGGGGAAAATGATATTAATAAATAAAGAATTTGTTATTTAGATCTGAATATGACTTCAAGTCAGTAACTATTTCTTCTTACAAAAAATAAAAATTTATAACATTTTAGGATACGTTTTCACGGACAAATATTAAAAATATCATATTATAATGAGAAAACGTTGTCAATATATAAAATTGTTTAAACAAAAATTGCTTTTTAGGCAGATTTATCATGAAATATCATAAAAAACTTAGAATTTTGAACATATGAGTTTAAAAAATAATAACATATATTTTTATAGTATAAAAATATATATTATTGTATGCTATTAAGATGAATGAAATGAAAGTATGATGATATTACTAAGGTATAACAGGTTTTAACGAACATCTTTGAAGATATATCTAGTGGAGAATATTAATAAATAATAATAAAAAAGTTTTATTTTTGAATGAATTTTTCAACATGAAATTATTATATAAACATTTATTCTAACCATTATTTTTGAATAACAGACGTAAATTTTTATTTTACAATTAAATTTTTTTTTTAATAACGGAATTAGTGAAAAATGTAACAAGTATGTTTGTTTCATTAAATTCACTGGTTAATCAAAAATACAATTTTCAGGAGAAAAATTTTTCCAAGACTGTAAATATTTTAATATTATAGTATACATTAATACCTGTTATTATTTCCTTATTATTGACTTTTCTTGGTTTTTTCTTGGTTTCTGCCGACTATAAAATGTTAATGACTTCTGAAATAGCAGTCCAAAAGCTGTTATCGACCAGTTATTTAGTTATATACTCTGTATAGAATAGGTTATATAAATCTAATTCAACGTTTATATACTTGTTTAGATCGGAATCCTCGTGTTGTAAGTAAGTACTTAACTAAAGAACCTTAAATTGTAAATTAATTAAGATTGTAATTAAACTAATTTCAAATTCCTATTAAATAAGTGAGAAATTTAATAAATAAAAAACATATCGTTGCATAAAATTTAAGATCATTTAATTTATGATAATGATATTACTAAAATTAAATTTTTTTTCTATCTCTGGATAACCTATTCATCAGCGGAATGATAACTTAAAATGAAGTATTATAAATAATAATTATTTAATTATTTAACACCCTGATGACATAAATGCAACATACAGTATCATAAGAATAACTAAATAGTTATTCAATTTCTAATAATATATGTAAACATCTCATTCACAAAATATTTACGGATTCTGAGTATCCATAATCACATTAATACATAGTATTCACATTAAAGGATTTAAATTTAAATGTATTTATTTTAAATTTTTATTACGTTTAAACGTTATTCACATTGTTATTCTAATTATAATGTTATTAGTGAAATCATTTAAAGCATTATAATTTGTTATATTATTACTTTTATCTAGTTATCATAGATAGTTCAAAAACGGCACAAGTTGTTAATTTTTTCTACATACAATTTTAAAATAAAATGTTGAAAATAACATAGATATACTATAAAAAGTATTGTTTTATGTTATTAATAAGATTTTGTATTTTTAGGTGTATTCGGTTTTCCAAGGGTTGTACCTAATAATTGTAAGTAAAATTACATATTTTTATATTCTATGACTTGTTTATACAAGGAAAATATTTTAAACCGTTGACAAATAGACATTTAAAATGAGAAGATTATTATACAATTTTATTTGATATCTGATAATTAATACCATCACTATCACAAAACATTTGATTATCCATAATGAAATTACGAAAAAAAAAACCCCAGCCAAGTGAAATCACGGCATAGTGGAGACGTTGCATAGTGGAGACGTGGCATAGTTGTGTCCAGTGTATATTTAAACTTTTTAAATCGATATAATTTTATTTTAATGATACATATGATATTTACCTATCACTTTGTATTTTTTTTTTTTTTATAATATTAACCGTTTACCTTCGATGCGGAAACAGTAGATGATGTCACAAATAAATAACACAGGTTGGTTTTCCTAAGTGGCGTCGAGCCGTTTAATGAGAAAACAAGAATCGTAACACAAATGATAATGTGCAAACCAATAATAACAATAATATTAATAAGAATCCGTCGATAGAAAAAACAAAAGATGACCGAAATTGCGGTGGTGATTTGGTTGAGTTAACGGACGCTATAACCAACGAGATAGGTGTCACGAAAATGACTGCCTGGACGTATTATTGCGGCGGGGTATACGACGCTAGGTATTTGTTGAACTTTACACCACGACGATAACGCGTGAGTGTAACGGTCCGGTTTACAGTGAAGAGGTGGCTGTGAAGGAGCTGATACAACCGCGGGGTGTCAACGTGAGACAACGCCGTGACCGTGTCACCTTGCTACAGAGGAGAATTCCAAATGATAACTTTTTTACAAAAAATGAACTTTTTCAAATTAACTTTTGAAAGTGTTCTGAAAAGTCTGATACTTGTATATATATATATATCTTAAATTAAAGCTAATATAATGCACTTTGTTATGGAAAAAAAAAAATTCGGACTTTATTTTGTCTTCACGGTGAAAATGGCTACCAAATGCTATTTTTGTGTGAAAATTCTCGATTTTATATTTTACATATTTAACTTTAAAATGATATAACTTTTTGAAAAATGTATGAATAATAACAATATCTTCATGAGAAGTAGTATTTAAATACATCTTTCATTCCACCTACTTTTTTTTCCCCTTTATACGGGTTCAAATCTGAAAAATACATATAGAAAATGTTCCAGAAAAATTGACACTTTATTATTCACAGTGAAAACAGATATCAAAATTAATAAAAAAAACCCAGCACAGGGGGGTCGCGGCACAGTGGAGACGTGGTATAGATGGATCAAGTATAATGATATCTGACAGTGATTAAAATCACTATAAAAAAAAAAATGCTGCGATGCAAATCTTTAGATAGTGTTTAATTTTAAAAAATTGGTGGATTATTCCAAAAGCTTCATAAACTGCTAGTTCCTTATTAATATCCTGATTAAGATAAAGTGTGTCGAATGAAAAAAGGAATATTAAAAAATAGTATTTCCCATAAAAAAATTATATTGATCAATACACTTTTGAATACGTTATAGCATTTTAAAGTTAAATATACTATAAAATAAACCATCAATAAAAGACATCATGCATCTTTTTAATTTTTTCGGAGGTTTCCCCCATTTACGGGGAACGAGGGAAATTTTTTCAATTTTTAAGGGTTATGTTTTCGACTAGATACGTTTTGTGATCTTTTGACGTATTATTAAAAGAAATCGGTTCGGTGAGAGCCTAGAAAAAGTGGTAACAGACACAAAAAAAACACATTTTTGTAAAACCAATACCTTCTCAGCTTCACATCGAAACTAAAATAGAATTATGGTAAAAAAAACCCAGCACAGGGGGGTCGCGGCACAGTGGTGACGTGGTATAGATGGATCAAGTATAATGATATCTGACAGTGATTAAAATCACTATCAAAAAAAAACGCTTCGATGCAAATCTTTAGATAGTGTTTAATTTTAAAAAATTGGTGGATTATTCCAAAAGCTTCATAAACTGCTAGTTCCTTATTAATATCCTGATTAAGATAAAGTATGTCGAATGAAAAAGGGATTATTAAAAAATAGAATTTCCCATAAAAAAATTATATTGATCAATACACTTTTCAATAAGTTATAGCATTATAAAGTTAAAAATGTAAAAAATAAAATTGAGAATTTTCACACAATAATAGCATTTGGTAGCCATTTTCATCGTGAAGACAAAATAAAGTCCGAAATTTTTTTTTTACATAATAAAGTAGATTACATTAGCTTTAATTTAATATATATAAACAAGTGTCCGACTTTCCGGAACACTTTCAAAATTTAAGTTGAAAAAGTAAATTTTTTGAGAAAAAGTTGTCATTTTGAATCCCCCCCTGTAGGCAGGTAAAAAGTCAGATTTATAAAAAAATATACCAAATGATAGGTAAAAACATCATGCATCTATATAAAAAAGAATTATATTGATATGTTAAATGTTAAGAAAATAAGTGAAAAAAATGACAAAATTTACCGATTTTTAAATTTGTGAATTTTTTGGATATTTTCCCCATTTTGGAGGAACGAGGGAATTTTTTTCAATTTTTAAGGATAATGCCTTCAACTAGATACGATTTTTAATCTTTTGACGTATTATTGAAAGAAATCGGTCCAGTGAGAGCAGAGAAAAAAAGGCAACAGACATAAAAAAAAAAAAAAAAAAAAAAAAAA